TCTGTATCTATGAAGCGCCTTGAGGCAACTTTTGTTGTGATTTGGCGCTATATAAATAAAATTGAATTGAATTGAATTAAATCCAATCAAGAATCTGTGGCAAGATCTGAAAACTGCTGTTCACAAACGCTGTTCACACGTTCACCACTTTGTGTTGGTCTTTCACATGGAATTCCAGTAACATTGATTCATGTTTGTGGCTGTAATGGGACAAAATGTGGAAAAGTTCAAGGGGGCCGAATACTTTTGCAAGCCACTGTAGGTTTACTTATTTGGACACCAAACGTTGTTACGGTCTCTTGGTGAGCAATGGTGAGGACAAACATGGCGTTTAAATTATGAGTTTCTTTGAAAGAAATGGAGGATTTTTGCTGTTGTTTGAATCTTGCTTGTAAATTAGCATGACATGGGACCTTTTAACTTTTATTGAAAAGTTAAAAGGTGTAGTAACTGATGAGCGTCTCCAGTAGAGGGCACTATTGGGCTTCTTTTCCTGGAGCGACTCTCCTGTTATTGGTTTCATTATTACAGCGTCCCATCAGTCAGGGGCAGAGGATGAAGTTTTGTTTTACACTGCAGAAAAGCTGCAATCAAGAGAAACTATTGAATAAATGAGCAGATACCTCCACCTTTTTTTCCTGAGCTTACCAAACAAAATCCAAATTTTATTAATTTCATTATTTTTAAATTTTGACGTTTGTCTTTAACCCTCATGCTCGGGTCCTCCACCAGAGGCTGGGAGGTTCCTGTGCAGCATCTTTGCTGTTCCCAGGACTGCGCTCTTCTTAGACATCTGTCCTGAGCTGTGCTGGAGCCAGTCACCCAGTCAGTGTTTCATTCATATACATACAAGCTTGTTGCTTCATAATGAGAACAGACGTTAAGAAAGCACATTGCTTACTTTCTTATTGGACGGCCGATGAGAAGGAGAGCCCACTTTATGTTCTGTAGCTTGTATGATGAAAAAAATATTGTCTATTCGTGGAGCACAAACGGTAGAGGACCGCAGGAGGACAGTCCACTGGCTGAGGTCCTCACATACCTGGAAAAGTACAGAACAGACGACAAGTTCAAACACTACAAAGTGTTACACATAAAGTAGTTAACAATAGTCACATCAAGACTCGCAAAATTTCAAAATCTCTGGTAGCCCTTTGGGCAGGCATTCTTCAGTTTTTGGTAGCCCAAAATAAATTTAAGTAGCCCGAA